GTGCTGTCTCTGTCCTGGCCCGTGCTCCGCGGGTGGATGTGCTGTCTCTGTCCTGGCCCGCAGCACCGAGGACTCTCAGGTTTCCTTACTCCATAGGGGCTGCCCCACCTCAACCACGCTGTAGTTCTCCCCTCCCGGCCCGTACCGGTTTCTCCCTTCCTCATCTCCTCGCCTCCATGATGCCACCCGGTCCCACTCAGGGGCCTTAGCCTCTTGGTTTTCCTGGTGTGACAGGGTTTGCCCATGTTCCCCCTCCCTAAGTACTTCTTTAGAGTTCCATGTTTTTTACTCTGCCTCTCCCTGTCTCTTGAGTGACCCTGGGACGCCCCTCCGAGGCTCCTGGCTAACAAGTTGAGTATCACTGGTTTCCTCTTGTCTTTCCAACTTCAGGCTGCCTCAGAGCCAGAGCTGGTGTTTGGGCCGCACACCCCCGGCCCTGTGGCAGCCAAGGCAGGCCTGCTTCTGCAGCCTGGGCCGAGCTCTGGTCTTTCTCTTCCCAGTGTCTGTGGAGCTATAGAACTTTATGTCCTGCTCTGTCTCCTTCTCTGTTGGCTCTTCACACCACTGTTCCCCTTCTTTTTTCTGATCAACATGCTGGTTCACGTGGTAGGAAGGTCCCTCTCTGGGTGGCGGGGTCAGCCTACTGCTGCTTGCACTGGTCTGGCAGGGTATTACCAAGCCTCTCACTTGGGATCTTTCACTGAAATTACTGGTTTACATCCAGTTTACACACCACTCCCTCAGAGAGGTGTCCACTCTTTTTTTTGCTACAAATTGGAAGAATAAGAGTTGTTTTGAGCCACAAATAAAATACACAAAACTCTAATGCTGATGAGAAGAAAAGGTCCACGCGTACTTTTCACGATATCCAACACCCCTGTAGGAAGTGAGGGACCCCTGCCCAAGGCACTTGGTGTGCCTGATGTAGGTTGGAGCTCAGCGGCTGGACACCCCGGTAGGAAGTGAGGGACCCCTGCCCAAGGCACTTGGTGTGCCTGATGTAGGTTGGAGCTCAGCGGCTGGACACCCCAGTAGGAAGTGAGGGACCCCTGCCCAAGGCACTTGGTGTGCCTGATGTAGGTTGGAGCTCAGCGGCTGGACACCCCGGTAGGAAGTGAGGCCCCCCTCCCCGGGGACTTGGCCTGCCTGGTGCAGGGTGGATGAAGCTTGGCTCCTCATTTGCCTTTCCGCGGTTTTCTTACTGCCTTTTAGAGCAAAAGCTAGAAAACGAGAGTACATTGTCCAGACTCAGTTCCACCCAGATTCAGAGGCTGCTCGATGGATTCATGTGCAAGTTGAATTAGGAACGGCAGGATGGGTTGGAGACAGGACAAAGAAGGAGTGAGGTGGGGTGCGGTTGGCGCTAATAGCAACTCCTTGACTTTTCTGGGGCTTCATTGTATTAAAGGTTCTGCCTCCTGATACCAGAATTTTGCTTTTCAGTAGGTTTTGGTCTTGGTGATTCGAAGAATGAATCTGTAGACCACAGATCAGTAGTAAGACAGGATTTATTTACAGAAAAGAATACAGAAGCCCCAGAGCTCCTGGCAGAGAGAGAAAACCCAAGTCAGGAGAGAAAAGCTTGCTCACGCACTCTTTCTCTCTCTCTCTCTCTCTCTCTCTCTGTCTCTGTCTCTCTCCCTGGGCTCTTTCTCTAGGGGTATATATAGGTGTATGGGTTCCTTGGATATGAGGCCAGGAAATGAATGGATACAGTCCTTTGCCCTAGGGCAAGGTGAATGAATGTATTAATGGACACAGTCCCTGATGCAGTTCATTCAGGAATTGAGGCCTAGGAAACCTACATGAAATTGACCCAGGCATAGGAAATCGGGTTCCATATTCAGTCATAAGTGTAAAGGGAAGGAGACGCCAAGGCACCGGTGTCTCCCCAGCAGCTGTATAGCCCCTTTGGCTATTGGAGCCTCTAGTGGGGGTGGGAGGCCCCCTCCTGTGCCTCCACTCCAGCCTGCTGGTTCCTCTCCCGGCTGCCGCTGCACCAACACCACCAAGGTGGAGGCAGCAGGTCCTCCAGCTCAGTGCGGCTGAGCTGGCTGGGGCACCATCTGTCCCGTATCACTCCTTAGTGCACTCATTCATCTCGCCTATGGGCATGTTTTCCACGTATGTGTATCATTATCTGTCAACCAGTGTGTCTTTCTAATTAAAAATATTT